GCCACAAGTAGTGTCTGGGTTAATAGTCACTGCCTTAATTACTCCATTATCATTTGGTGGCCCAATCCAATCATTAATGTCCTTAATAAAAAAAAAGAATGAATTTAAAATTCTGAGATTATTTAGCATAATGTCTATTTGCCTCTTTATTCTCTAGTACACGAAAACCCAGCACGTCATGCATACAACTTGGGCTCCTGTAGTAATTTTAATTTGAGTTAACTCCTTCAGTAATTTTATAGCTAAATATTCAGCCTAAATCCTCTTTCTTTAGTGCCATACTTAAAGCAGAGTAAAATAATATTTTGTTTACCATTTTATGTTCTTTACCAGGAATTACCCTATCTTCTTAATAAACAATGTGTGGTGCAAAGCCATTGAACTGTAAGTTTTCAGTGTCAGAAGCAATGGGATTAAAACTACCTATCTTACTATTACTAGCTAAGAAAACTTAGTCAATATACATCACATCTTTGTGACTTATTTTATTCTTCTATAAAATGAGGACACTACTTAGTTGCTATAAAAGCTAATTACTATCTATGAAAATCATTGCCAAATAAACGTTAGTTTCCTTCATTCACCCATTTAGATAAGTGTATTAAACAACACATCACCATAGTTCTTTCTAAATTGACCAAATTTGTAATATTGTGTTGGTTTGATTGACACCTAAAGATAATGATAGAAATGCTAAGCAAAACGAGCCAGAAGTAGAAAGGCAAAAGTTGGATAACATCACTAGGATGTGGAATATCAAGAAACAGAACAAAAGGACAAGGAAAGCCAGAACAAAAGCAAACCTCAGAAATCATAACTGTTAAATTGAACCAACCAGAAAGTGGGAGGAGGAAGGTAAAAAGAGCAAAGCAGGGAGGAGAGCCCATAGATTGGATTGAAGGACTACTTATCCTTGGTGGTGGGTGTGGTATGGTAACATACATTTGAAGAGATGTGATACTATACCTTTAAATCATATACTGTGTTATAAAGCAATGTTTGGAAATGCAGTTGGAAAAAGGGAAATGGCTATTGTCCATAACTCACATTAGAAATCAAGTTAATGTAAACTATAGGAAGTTGAACTCAATATCAAGGGTCAGCTTCTAAACATTAAAGCTGACACTATAAGGAACTGCTGCACAAAGTAGTAGCCTTCTCAAATTGAAAGAAATCTAGAAGAAATTAGAGAAACATCTGTCTGATGCTGGGATAGGAGAACGAGTCTTTGCACATCAACTTACTCTCCCGTTCTCAAAGTATCTTGGCCAACGGAAGCTTGACATGATCCGTGTAAATCCATAAGGATGAGCGAGCATAAATCCAACTCCCATTTTGTACAGCCTGAAAGATTCAAAATTATATCACCATGCAAGACAAGAATGATTTTATTGTAATTTAAAGATCGGCTAAAAAAGGGGGAGACTTTGTGTCCTACCTAGGGTCCCAGAATGTCAGAATGGAAGCTCCCCCAGCTCCATGGCCTCGCTGGTTGTCATGGTTATCCACAAAAACAAGAGCTTTGTCAGAAGGCATGAAACCCCAACCTTCTCCCCAGTTCCTGGTTTAAGTGAATAGAAAAAATATTTATAATTTTACTTATATATTTACACAATATGTATTTAGATATGTAAATATCTGTAAGTTTATAATAACATTCAAATAACCGAAAAAAACAGTGTTTCAGTATATACTCAAATGAAATTCTATTTAATTAAATGGCTATTCTGTCAAACTTTTTAGTACAAACTACAGATAACAATACAATTCTACAAATTCAATCTGTGCATGCACACATACATGAATTTCTTGTCCTACATTCATGTTAAATATACCTAATTTTTGTTATAAAGATGTCCTGTTAAAGATTTCAGCACATCAAAATTGAGATGGCATTTAGAAGGGTCAATATCCCTATCCTACTACAAAAATAGAAGGTAAATTCTCTTAAATTCTGTTGAGAGTTCATTATATATTTTTATAAATATTTTAATATTAAAGTAAATTAAGTGATATCATATGCATATGGCATAGTATGGCCATGTTGTAGGTACTTAATAATGATAGAAGCTTTAATAATAATCTGAACATCACAGATTTTAGGCAAATGTTAGCCAAAATAGGCAAAATACAAAGATTAAAATATCTAAGATATGCTTTGGGCTTGTAAACATAGTTCCTTGTATTGAACATTCTAAATAAGAAAGACAATTTATTGAAACTTAGGAAATTGTCACACAGTATTAGTAATTGGATCTTTGAATCTTATTTAAATAAGTTTAGAAGAAGATCACATATTGGGGTGAGTTGTAGATCTGTGAAATTATTCAAGGTCAAATCATATTGCATTACCTTAGGTAAGCCATCTTCTCTCCATCCCACCTGCGAAGCACAGTGCCCAGTTTGGCACCATACTTGAATTCTGTCACACGGCCATTTCCAAAGTACTCATGGCTTTTAATTGACTCACCACCCAGATCAATCACCTAGTAAAAATATAGGAGAAAATATTTTAAGTGAGAATTGTTTAGGATTATAACCATAAATTAACATACAGAAACTGGCTTTCGACAATTTGTATTATTCAGAAAGCCCAAAACAGTTTTCCTTAACTAGATTCTTTTTTTCTAAAGTACACGAAGTGGGCCCTCCCTAGTGGTGCAAGAGACTAAAGCACAGGACTGTGAGGCTACCCCCCACAAAGGGGGTAACCTCATCTCACCTGCTGCTCCCCTCAGCAGTGTACTTCGTCAATCTGCCTGTTCTGCTCCCCACTCTGTCTCAGGTGAATCCTCTCATCCCTGCACCTCTAGCTTATACCCCAGTTCTTGTATAAATAAATAAATCTTAAAAAATAATAAAGTACTTGCAGCATTTACTATCTGGCCTACAATATTTACAATTGTTTGATAAGCATTAATTCATTCAATTTTCCAAAGAAAGTAGGAAAACAAAAACATAATCATTATCATTTAGCCCTTTTCCTTTTAAAAAAAATTGTGGTACAGAAATACTCATCCATTTGCCTAAATGAACAGCTATGAATGCTATAGCCAAGATTTATTTTAAATAGGTTGGCTCAAGACAACAATATTATTGTCTTTTATAAGTTCTTGGGGTAAGTAATACAGAAATGTTTACAGTCAAAGTAAATTCCCTGCACTCTCTTTCAACGACTAATGACAGAGTTTGAATTTCTGTCTACAAATCAAAGGGGAAAAGTATTCTAAGTAAATTATCCCTATTTTATAAAAAATAGTTCTGTAATGAACCCTCAGAAATTACATTTAAATTAAGTCTGTCATTTAATTTCTAATGTGTTAATATTACTTTCTATGTGCACACACACATATACACAATATATAATTTTAAATTAAATTATATACCTCCTGGTAAACAAAGGCTCTACTTCCTTCAGGGAACCATTTTGTGTTCAGATTATGCAATTTATCCAAAATGGCCTTCATATCTCCAGGCCACATATGCTTAGAAGCATCAATTCTGAATCCTGCTACCCCAATGTCAATGAGATGGTTCAGATAGTCGGCAATCTTGTTCCGCACATAATCTTTCTCCAGGGCAAGGTCAAGAAGACCAACCAGCCGGCAGTCTCTAACCTGTGGAGGTAAAAATGTGACTTATACATAAAATATCATCTTTAGCTGAGTATTCACTTCATTATACATTCATATATCCATTAATATTTCTATAATGTCTTCTTTGCATTGGACACTGGGAATACTGACACCCTAGTAAGAAATAACTTAGAAATATTTGAGTGTGGAACTGGACAATTTACACAGTGACGTGTCTGAGCTTCTTCATTGACTGAGAAATGTTTTAAGCACTGACTGGTTTTTACTTTTCAACAGTCATACTTGGAATTCTGTGCCTTCCTCAGACAGCTAAACAAGTGTAGAAAGTGGAAAGCTATAGGCAACATGTAGATCATCAAAGGCATATTCACTCTTTATTCAGATTAATGAGTTTTCAAATTACCTGATAAGCATCATTATAGTTCTCAATGTCTCCACTTCCAGTTCTACATTTCCCATCATTAAAGTCCCAGCCAGAGAATGGGACTGCTGGAAAATCCCTACTCCCAGGGTTGAAGTAGCTTCCGCAAGTGCTGCTTCTTCCTGCGCTCACACCATTTCCACACATGTGATTGATGACAGCATCCACGTAGATGTGGACCTGAAGGGGAAAGTCTACATTTCATTTTGACTTACAGAAAAGTAGAAATTTGAAAAGTTACTGAAGTTCACAGCAAGTTAATAACACTCCAAAATATTTGTTATTTATAAATGTATCCTCCTTGAAAATCAAAAGTCAATATAAAAGGAATCAGGATGAATTTAATACCTATATGCATTCTAGTGACTTGGTCAAATATCTAGTTATATAAGTTTACAGAGTCTACAACCATGAAAAAATGCAAAAAATACTTGGGGAGAAGGTAAAAATTAGTTGATTCCAGAGAACTATTTGATTTTTGGAAATTTCTATGGCTCATTCTAGGATAGAAGTAGCCAGGTTCTACTTTATATATACTAAGTATGTGGTATGCACTTAGTTGTCTCTCATTATGCTCCTCAACAAAGAGAATATAACTATTTATCATCAAAGTAAATTATAAGGAAGAAGATTCAGGAGTTATGTGTGAAAACGGAAGTTACATAAAAGTAACAGCAAAGGGCCTCCCTGGTAGCCTAGGGATTAAGTGTCAGCAGTATTACCTCTAGGATCTGAGTTTGATCCCCAGTCAGGGAGGTGACCCACATGGAACAGCAGACCTCTCCTGTCTCCCTTGCTACTCCCCTCAGCAGTGTATTTCAGTATATCTGCCTGTCCTGCTCCCCTCGCTCACCTCACCTCTGGCCTGCACCCTAGTTCTTCTATTCATATATATATGTAAATATTTTTTAAAAAACTGACAGCCAATATTGGAAATGGAATTTTCAATTTCTGAGTAAAAATGTGTTGCTGGTTATGTATATATAAATTATATTTTCCTTAATAGATAAATGCATATATACAGATAGTTATAAAAGTTAAACCTAGACAACAATGTATTCTAATTGAAGTGAAAACATGAAATAAAATGAAAAATATGAAAACATTCTGCTCAAAGTAACGAGACTGTACTATAGAATATTTTAAAAGCAACTTTAGTTCACTTACACCGACGTTGTTACATCTAGTCACCATGTCTCTGAATTCATCTTCATTTCCAGATCTTGTACATAAGTTGTAGCTGATGGGTTGGTATCTTTCCCACCAAGGTCTTGAAGGGTGATTAATAATAACATTTTCATTGGGTGGCGAGATCTGCAAATAAAACAATCTTGTCAATTTGTGACTTTTTTCTGATCCCTGGATACTTTAGAAACCTATCAATCTAAAATTACATCAGAATTATATACACCTATATGTCTATACAATCATTTGAAAACAGCAGCACATTTGAAATGTCCTGCCAAAGGAAGAGTCTATTGGGGCCAAAACAAACTCGCCCATAATGCTAATTTCTCCCTCAGGAAATTTTATTTCATATACTTACGTGTGAATAAAATGTTCTCTCAGCTTTTCAGATACAGATACTCGTTAAGCAGAGAAAACCCTGTAATTTAATTATGAACAATACCCACCTGGACTCCTCCAAATCCTTTGGGTCCTAAGTATCGCTCACATTCAAGAGCAATGTCAACCCAGCGCCACTCAAACAGATGGACAATAGATGTCCGTCCAGGTTTGGTATGGGGGTTATACTGAGCCCCGCAGAGCCCAATGGCTAAAAGCAATAAAAAGAACTTCATTTTGCTCTGAAGTTGCCGGTGTTCTTTTTCCAGCCACTATTTATAGTCCTACAAGAAGCATATTTTACAAAGTAAACATTAACATGAATAAAGCACAAATCACTTATTCATAATCTGAAAAAGATTATCAATAGTAATGTTAACAGGTGAAAAACTTCCATAAAATGTCCCAGGAAAACAACCCAAATAACCTCTTAGAACTTAATGTTTCCTTGTTGAGGGAATATTAACTTTTTTAAAACAACTGACAGCTTATACAAATATAAACATGTATTACGTAATTAGGATAAGATCTTATTTCTGAAGTCCTTCACTGATAGATGGAAATTAACAACTAAAGCCAACTGAATGTCCAACAATATATTGCCTTAAATGTTTATTTGCAAACATTTGTAATGTTGCAATTCAAAAAGAAACAGGATATTCATTTCAGTGTTTTTTTACTGCCAACCCAAATTTTCAGTTAATTAAATGTGTACAATAAGATTTCAGGAGCTATTCGGAGGTGGAATAGCCATGAATTGAGGAAACAGACTGTTTTTACCCATCCATCAAATTATGTGGTCAATGTAATTATGATAGTAATAGGATGTTTCCCCTCATATAGCCAAACATCTCTTGTGCCTGATAAGACACTTAATCTATGAAATCAACATTACTTTTCTTCCTATGTAAGATAATAATAATAGATACCAAAAAAAAAAAAAAACCAAAATAAAACTTAATCCACTGATCCAATAAGTATTAACTGTGTGTTTCTATGCTGAGTTTATGGATGATATTTGGGCTAAACGCTGAAACAGGCAGACGAGATGCATGGTCTCAGGGAGTTTACATTCTAAGGGAAGAGAAAGAAAATATGGGAATACGTAATACTGACAAGGCAACTTAAAATAGCAATAAGAACAAGTGTAAAATAACAGGTCAATAAAACAGAAAGTGTCTTCACTATTAGGATATTTTAGACTGGCTTCGCAGGGCATCTGGGAAGAAGTGTTTGTCAGGATTTGAAGGAATCACAGCAACTAGTCATTTGAAAATCAGAAAACAGGCTAGGAAAGCATGATAATAAAAATCCAAGGGAAAGTCAATGTAAATAAATAATTTACAATAAAGAGGATGAAGATAAAATTAGATGCGATTAGAGAGGTAGAACAGATTCCAAATTAGTGGTGAGAAGAAGGGAAGTGGGGAAGAATAGGAATGGATAAATCATGCCAATCAGATCAATTTTTTGGTGAAGGATAGAACTGACCACATAGTGATAAACTTCATGTAATATATATGTATGTTGATTTATGATGCCCACCGAAACTTGCATAATGTTATAATGCCATGTTATTTCAATAGAGTGTTTTAAAAATAAACATTCTTGGAAAATCAATGCAGCTAAACTATGTATAAAAAAGGTAAGGTAAAATGAGATAGAAGAAGTCAGTCAGATCATGTAGGACCTGGCAGAACATCATGGAAAAAATCACTAGGTCTGTAACAGGAAAATCTGGCAGAGCCTGGTAGGCTTTAAAGGAAAATTACTCTTGTTGCCCTGAAGAAATTGGATTTTAGGGAGATAAGAATGGAGGTAAAGGGGGTCAATTAACTTTTTCCTTGGCCTAGGAAAGAGGTGAGTGACTTGGATTAAGGACATGGCAAGATATATTTCAGAGTTAGTGAGACAGTAAACTAAAGATAGACAGTAAACTACAGGTAGACTGGTCCTATGTGCTTATTTTTTTCTTCAGTTTGAGGTATCATAATAAGAAATAATAGACTTAATTACTTCAACAACAAATACTTATTTCTTATAGTTCTGGAGACTGGGTGGGCCAAGGTCAAATGATAAGAAGGAAGTAGCAAAGTTTTCCACCTGCAATTTTTCCCACATTTTATCTTTCATTTAGCAACTTTAGAGCTTTGGTATCATGTGTTTTGAAATATACTTCTCTTATTGCCTCATTTAACTGGAACTGTACTTATGATTGCAAATTTTTTTTTTAAAGATTTATTTATTTATGCATACAGAACTGGGATACAGGCCAGAGGCTCAGGGGCGGTGAGAGGCTTCACCAGAGACAGAGTGGGGAACAGAACAGACAGATCGACGAAGTACACTGCTGAAGGGAGCAGCGGGAGGGTCAGGAGAGGTCTGCCACACCATGTGGTCACCTCCGGGGCAGGCAGGAATCGAACTCATGCAGAAGTGGCTTTAGATTCTCAATGCTGTGCTTTAACCCACTGCGCCACCAGGTAGGGCCCTGATTACAAATATTTTAATAATGCATTTCTGGATGTTATTAAAATTAAGGATGACTTGTAGCATAACTGGGGGCATTTTATTAGCACCCCAGCATAGAAGGAGATATAAAAAAATTATCATAACCCCCTGTCATAGGTCAGGCATTGTTATATGCTTTTCATGGACTCTCAGTAAATATAAAGACCTATAAATTCCATAGGAGAGACTTTCAAATAACATTTATTTTCATCTTGTAAAGTAAAATTTGTAAAAAATCTTGATGTCCCAAAAGCAATACTTCTTAAGGTGATTTTATGCTTGATGTGTCGATAGAACATATCCATTGTTAAAAAGAGAAATCTTAAATTTAATTTTCTGATGTTTACAAATTTTTCCCCTCAAAGAATGTTACATAAGAAGCATTTGTTATTTTATTGTATGTCCACAATAAGACTGCCATTTTAGAGCATAAACTCGAGTATAAATTCAGGATTCCTCTTGACACAGTGAAAACCATAAAGGTAGTCATTTGGCTTAGACTTCCATCACACAAAAGTCATCATGTAGATAAAACGAAAGAGTTATATTAAATTATTAAACAAGAAGCAATAGTCATGAAAATTGTATCTATTTCTAGTTTCATTTCTACCAATATAAATCACTTAACTATATAAGGATCAGTTATCTACCAATTTCTTCTTGTGTATGCAAAGCAACTTCAATAACAAAGGCAGATACTATGATTTTTTTAGCATGTAAATGAATTAACATTTAACAAGAAATGACAAATTATGTTGTCATTTGTGATTATTAGTTCTAGATCCACCAAAAATCTTTATAGAAAAAAAAATATTAAAATATCATTACCTCCAATTTGACATCTCTTGTTATTTTATCACAAGCATATCTCTAAGTGTTGTGATTTTTTCTCAGGTTTCAATATTCTAGATCTTTAAATATTATTTGTTACTATAGGACTTGGTCATTAGTGGTTTGTTGCACTGAAAAGCTCACAATTCCTCTAAACATTACATTGAATTAGTACAGTTTTCTCAAAATAGTATCCTGTCACCCATGAGCCTCCTCCGTCCTTTCCCCCAATACCCCCTTTACACACACACAAATTGAACCTAACTACAGGATACCTCACAAATGAAGGCTAAGGAAAAGAAGGCAACAACAATCAAGTTTGCTTACAATATTTCTGAAATGAGGCAAATGTTTTGAGCCAAGACTTAGAAGCCTTTCAAACACAAATAGTACATTTTGTGTTACTGGAAATTGAAACGAGTTGTCAACAACCCTAAAATAGACTGTGAAACTGAACTATATCAAATCATATGACAGAAACCACTTCAAGGTTAAAAAAAATTGTGTGTGGGGGGAAGTATACAGTACCCCAAAAAAACTTTAAAATAACTTACCACATTAGCTTCTTTAAATCAGCAACCTTGCAAATCCACTCTTCAGTCCTTTTCCATTATAAAATAGTTGTGGTTTTGCTTTCTCTTCAATTAAGGGGAAATGTTGAACGTGGGACTTTATAGACTAGCTCTGATCAGCTTCCTTTCTTTCAACTTGTGCTCTTATAACCCTGTCCAAATTCTCCAAATCTAGTTTATATGAAAAATGTCATCTCAGCTCCAAAATCACCAAGTTGGCGACTATTTCTCCTGTTTACTGAACAATCCAGTCTTCTCTCTCCTGCTCAATTTGCTGCTGGCTACCTCTTCTCCGATTATACTGTAACTTGCCAGAGAGTTTGTTTTCCCTGTGTTCCTTTCTCTTTCTGCAATATCCTCTCCTACAATCAGCTACACTTACCCCCCATCCCCGCACCATTTATATAAATCTATAGGAGAAAAAAAAATTGCTAAAATAATCTTATAGGCAGAGTAGAAGTTGATAGCACCAAATTAATTTAGCATGACTAGAAAATAAAATGTTTTGGGGGTGATTAGTACTGGTGTATAGTGGGCTTGGGCACAAGGGCAGGTTAAGGGAAGTGGTTTGGAGTATAAACTTAATTAGCAGCCTAAGAGAACTGACCAATTACACTTGTTTTTCTTGTCTGTTTTATTGCTAGGTGGTGTTCTAGCATATGCATGTAACATGCTTTTCTAACAACACGGTGACTGGCATTTTCTTTATTATTATTAAAGCTGCATGGATACGGAGGAACAAAAATTTTATAGACATATTTTCATATCTTATGTTAATAATACCTAGAAAACTGCTTGTTCTTATTATAAATGAATGCAGTTTATAAAGGCTACCAAATTATTTCTAAAATGCTTTTACCTCTTTGTGCTTTTGCTAGCAAGTATTAAAAGTAATCCAGTTACTGCCCATGTTTCACACGACTTGGCATTACTGTTTTTTCTAACATTAGTTATGCCATTCTGTGAGTAAAGTGCTATTTCATTATGGTTTTGATTTTTCACTTGCTGATACAGAGGTTGAGCATGTTTTCCCCAGCAGTATTTTAAAGCTTTCAGTACATGGATTTACACGTACTTTATCTCTAATTATTTTTATTTTTGAGGTTATTTTTTAATGTTTTTCTTCTTGCTGTTACTATGTATAATCTTTTAGCTGTATTGTGATGTCCAGCAGTTATTTTGTAAAGATTTATTATTTTTTGCATAATCATGACATTTGAGAATTTTTTTTATTTAACTGCTTTCCAGTCTCATTCTTTTGCTTGACTTTATTGACTGAAACTTCCTATAAAATATTAGTTTACATCCTTACCCTATTATTGATCTCAGGAAGAAAACTATTATGAGTTGAATTCTGTTTCTCACCTTCCATTCCCCAATTCTTATGTTGAAGTTCTAAATGCCCACTGCCACAGGTGATCTGAATTGAACCTAGCACATCACTAGGTAGCTTCCTAATGCACTATGATTACGTGCCTTACAAAAAAGAAGTTTGGGCAAAGAGAAACTCAAAAAAGGTAGATAAAGTGATGACTCGGAGAAATTAGTTATCTGAATTCTGAGAGGTTTGGAACAGGCTCCTCTCTCAAGCTCTCAGGACTCAACTCCACTGGTGTCTTGAATTTGAAATTCTACCTCCTAAAAATATGAAACAATAAATTTCTGTTTCGTAAGTCATTCAATATGTCCTACTTTTGTGTGGCAACTCTAGCAAACTGATACAGAAATCCCCAACCATTTTACCATCAAGAGTATCAGCTCTAAGCATTTTTCCAATCTCTTCATCAGATAAGAGTATTGTCTCCCTCATTGCTTTTGATCATGACTGTAAACAGAACATTATTATTTTTCTGTATCCTTTGAAACGTTGTGGTGAATCACATCCACTGATTTTTTAATGATTAAAAACATTACTGAAATTAATTCCACTTGGTGAATGATCTAGTACTTTTTTTTTTTTTTTAACAGAGCTGAATTTGATTTGCCTGTTTTCTTTGTTCAGGAGGGACCTTGATTTGTATTGATAGTATGACTTTCTTATAAGGTCTTTGTCAGGATTTGACATCGGGGGGCACACTCACTCCAGAAAATAATCTGCAAAATGTTCTAAATTTTTATATACTATACAATCACAATTTCAGGGTGTATTTTTTCCCTCAATTTATCTTGTGATTTCTTTTTATCTCATAGGCTACTTAGAAGTATATAGTTGGGGACACCTTGTAAATACCTTGTTACATAGAATACCATTTTTGTCAGAAAACAAATTTTTTAGCATTTTGGAACTTTCGGTACTTAACATTTTTTTTTCCCTCAATGTCTATCTTGGTAAAATAATTCCCCGAAGATGTAGTGCTTGTTTCTCAAATTTGTGAATATTTTTACATTGCAAAAATTTCTGTACATGTATTAAGATTACACTCATTATTTCTCTTCACTCATTTGTCTATTCCTCAGACCTGATTACCGTTCTCCATCTTCCATCATGCTATTCTTTCTTTGGCCTACTACTACTCACATTTTCCTTGGAACACCTATAGTGAAGTATTTTTTGTATACATTTTAGCTCCAGAATTTCATATTCCTGTCTTCCTAGATTTTCTATCTTTACTATTTTTATTTTTGTTCATAACTTATTTTGTTTCATCTTCGACTAGTTCAAGCATATTTAAAACAATTGGGGACTGATATCGACATGATGAATTGTTAGGACAGTGGTGGTGGGTTTATGGCATGAAAATATTTATTTGTAAGGTTTAAACCTATAACCTAAGTGGGATATTGGCGATATCTCAGTTTAAAAAATTAAAATTACTTTTATGTGGCTTAATACCCTTTTTAAATTGTTATTTTAAAACGGACAGACTCCCCTATAGGTGTTTCTATACTAATCATAAATGTTCTCCAGTGTTGTTTGCTCTCTGTGAATTCCCTCATGCAGTCAAATTTATATTTGACACAGTTACTCTTTTTTGGCATTTTTTTCAAATTTTGGTATTATTATTTTAGATACCGGAGTGGAATGGTAGATTCCTGGTGGTCTTTATGTAAACACTCTATCTCCAGTACAGATTGCTTTGGGATATGTCAGAATAGACTATCTGGTGTCTTATGCTCTTGGGACTCTTTTCTTCCTAAGAATCATCAATTCTCTCTCCTGTACCTAAAACATGTGGCTGTCATTTCTACTGAACAACCCTACTGCAGTCACTATTTTTTGTTTCATATGCATTTGTAAAGGAAATTAAATAAAACAAAGGATCTAGTAATTAATTCAATTACAGTTGACATTTATTAAACCAGTTCTCAATTATCACAAAGGGAAATGATCTCTTCTAATAGTGAGGAAAGATTTAAAATTATTTACCTTAATACTTCAGTTGCTATGTTTTGAATTTTAGAAGCTTAAAAGATCTTTTCATTGACTTCCTTTGAAAGTCTTAATATTGATAAAGACTTGATATAAGGTTTCATAGTAAATACTGTCCAAGTCATCTAATACCAGCAATTTATATGATATTGCCTTTTTGTTTGCTTCATTTAATCAGAATTAGGTACTGACTTGGTTCATGTTACTAACTAGGAGGTAGAATGACAGAAGTGAGGAGCACTGGAATTACTCAATGTCTCTTTACATTTTACCTTTAGATGCCTCAGTCATCTCACATGAGCCCAGTTCTTAGAGATGCTATAAACAGAAAACCCTAGCAAGAAGAGTTTTACATATTGCACATTGTTGTGAAACATTATTTGCAGTCAAATCACCCATTTATTTCCATTTCATACTACTATTCTTTTGGAGAATAAGCCAACTCTCATTTCATTTGGTTTATCTGAAACTTCAATCCTCACCAGAGGGGTGACCTATTTGATTAAACACCCAGTTAAGAATACTAGATCTCTCCAGCAAACGTTAAAAAAAGAGTGTTTAATGCTTAAAACTGTTAAACTAGCTTTAAGGTTTTTTTTCTGGAGGCTTAATTGATCATTACTTCCCATCTCCATAATGACTTTATTTTTCACCCATGGGTAATTATCATGTGGTTATTGTCAGGATAATGATTTGCAGTTCCAGTAATAGTTATACATTTTAAAAGAAGAAAAAAAAAACAAAAACAAAACCACAAAACTTCCTGTACAAGCCCTAGAAATCCTTCTAATTGGACTTACTTGGTCATAAACTCAAATTATGAGGAGGCATGAGGTTGGGGTTGGTTACCATTATTCAAAAAAGAGGCTAATTCTTAGATAATTAAACTTGTACATTGAAATCATCTCCTGTTTTATGCATGGGAAGAAAGCAGAAGTGTTGGGCATCTCAATAATAATCTAGGTGGAAAAATAATAATCTATAATAATCTATCACCTTTACCATGTTCCTACTATATATACCTAACTACAAATATTGTAGTACAAATTGTGATGTACACAATTTGTCCACCCTTCCTATTATTGAGTTGCTGCCTTTTTAAAACCAGCCATTCCGTGGCTTACCTTACCTTACCTATGGTTCAACAATGTCCCTCTACTGCCTGTATCATGCTTTCCCCTGCCCCTGACTTAAATTAGTCCTACTCACATACCAGTCTGCTTTACCTGCAGTACTTACAAAGCAAAACAAAAATCTTCTTGTTCTACATTAACAGGGGGAAAAGCCTATCACTTTTGAGAGGAAAGCTTTAGCAGAATTATCTCCAATTCCTACTGTATTAAATTCTTCTTTACCATTTTCTTCTCACTTCTTCCATTCATCAAATCCAGTTGTCACGGTCACAAATGTTGCTAAACCCAATGGTAAATCCCCTGAACTCATCTTTCTTGCATCAGCAACATGTCTGACATTTGATTTCCACTTCCTACTTGAGGTACTTTCTTTATTTAGCTTCTAGTTATTTCTCCTCATCTTTCCTTATTGTTCCTTAACTTTTGGCCATCTGAACATCTGTACATTGTAGGGTTCATTTCTCCATATTTTTAATTCCTATCTTTAGCATTCTCATTATTCTATTTCATAATGCTGTGAGGAAATGGGAAGAAGTTATGATTCAGAGAGTCCCTGGCCTATGAATCTAAGAGGAAACTGTTAGTATATACTCACAGGCAAGTATCAATAAACAAAAGAACAAATATATCAAAATTTTTCTACTTACAAAGATAAACCAAATTTCACCACAGGAACAAAATATTTTATATGGGCAATACACCTTTGAGTGACATTCTGATAGATGTAGAGGCACAAAATAGAATAGTAAATTAATTTTAAGCTGTGAAATAATCTTCATTTTCAAACAAAACAAAAAAACCCAAAAGTCAAAAACCCCAAAAAGAAAAATCATAGCCAGAAAAACCACTTCCTAAAAAATAAGACTATTTAAGAAGTGTATAGGTGCACTGGTATCCAGGTAACAACGAGGAGGGCAGTGTTTGTAATCATTAAAGTTTATAGTTTATAAAAGTACCTTAAATTTGTATAGTTATCAAATCATACTTTAATAGATGTATAAAATAACATAATGAAAAATTAAGAACACAGTTTTATTGAAAAGAAAATAATTTATTATATATAAGGAAGATGATTAAAATACAGATGATGCATTGCCAATTAGCTGACTTAAATGCATATAGATTTAACGTTAAACACAGTTTAAAAGCTGTTACGCACAGTTCCATAGTCCAGATGGTCATTTTCTTCTTTTCAAGGTTGGAAAGTTGAAAGATAATGGGTATTTCAAAAGGAACCTAAAATACCATAAAAGTCCATTAAAAAAATCATGGTTATAAAAATGTCATTAAATTAACTAGACGTTAAAAAACTTAATATTTAGAAAATTAGTGAATCATGTCAGTATAAAAATACTTAATTATCTAAATACAGAAATTATTTATAACATTAAATAAAACATTTCAATTATGCCTATAGAAATAAAAATAGCAACTTCGATATCCATAAATTTAATCCTTTTGGGTTGATAATGATTGACAGAATTTTGAATTTTTTCTTTAATAACACTAATAGCATAATTTGCAAGAAAGAAATGTAGAGATTTAATACTAGAGGGCGAAGTGGGATAAGGCACTTTACCATTTCAATCTAACAAACCAGTATCTGAACTAATTAGTCCTACAGAACCTAACCCTAAAAGAAATCTTCTGAAGTTAGTTTCTTGGTTCTATTTCTGAGATTTTGACTTATTAGTTCAGGGAAGGGATCTTGATGTGCGAAAATCTGTCCTCAAAGTTAAATCAAAGTTGGGTAGTCTCAAAAATTCTAATATCCATGCTGCAATTAACTCAGAACTCCAGAACAGGAACCCAGACATCAGTATATATGTTTAGACTACTGTATTTTTATTTTACAAAAGTCATTATTTTAAAAAAATGTCCCGGGTCATTCTAATGTGCAGTTCAAGATCGAGCACCTCTGCTGTAGTTGGTTGTGATCACCATCCTTACAAACTACTCTTCTTACCTACATAAAGCATTGTTTCTTTCCACATGTTGTGCTGCCCCTGAATCAACATCATGTCTTTTACATGTCAGCCTTACTCCTTTTTGTTTGCTTAGAAAAAAATTAGAGAGGAAAAGATACTTCTACTTCCTCTGTATCTTAAAGGAAATTTCAGTAGGAACTTGGAGTAAGGACTATTATTCTTACTTGGATCGGAATCCCATTTTTAATTTTATATATATATATATATATATACATATATATAAAACCTTTTCACAATCAAATTTTCAACATGTTACACAGACCACCTAAACCAGATACATCATAAAACAGAAAATGTAATACGTTATTGAGTTAGGTTTAGGAAATGCATAAAAAGAAAAAAACATGACTAAATTCTGTGTCAAAGTAAATGTACACATTCTCCAAGTAAGTTGACCTGATTCACTAACTTTCCCTGAAAAAATCACATAATCTAAAGTATAGCATTGAAAATTCAGCAACAAATCTAAAAAAAAAATACATAAAAGATTTCTTCAATCAACACAATAACTTTAGAAATATTTCACCTGAATAAATTGTAAAAAAGTAATGCTTAATTTGGATCAATGGATGAGAGAGGGACAAAACATTTCTAGGAAAAACAAAAACACTACCCCCAAAAAGGATACGACAAGAAAGGATACACAGCAGTATTTACGCAGGAATGCTTCTAAAGAAGAACAGCAGAATGCATTTTAATTTTCTTCTTACTTGTTATGTCAGAATTACAAATAAGTGATTTCTTTAACACACAATCAAAATTGTTTAACTCTTTTCTAAGGTATTCATAAGAATTCTGACTATACCAGAATAGATATTCTACAACTTCAAATATGTAAGACATCTCACAAAATAAAAAAAAAAGCAAAATTTATTATTTTTTCAGCATAACTCTAGTAGGTTTGGCCTCGCTACTTCATGTTCTTCTAGTTTATAAAGGCAGAAAGGCATAAAAATAAAAGGAATATATTTCCACTCATCTTCCTTAAATCAGTCACATACACTTTAAATCTACCATTTGTAATCACTACATCACTCAAGTATGCATTAAGACTACTTATTTGAAAGACAAAATATTTCATTTCACAAAAATACACAAGTATTTGTGGAATGTGCAATTAGTAATTTTAACACATACCCACAGGTTCTACCAAGGGGATCAACTTTTCCTGGCTTGGAAGTGGACAATTTTTCAGCTTTAGAGCTCAAAGACCCTTATCCTAAGACTACCCCTTCCCGCTGCCCCCAACCCCCAACCCTAGCCGCAGCCAGGTCACAGGGAAACTGAGATGGTTGATAACCCAAGGCCCCTATCCCAGATACACTGAATCATAAGTTCTGGGTGGGGGAAAATCTAGCAATCTGTGTTTGTTTTAACAAACCCTCCGGGTAATTACATAACATACATTAAAAAACACTGCTTTAGGCAGACAAAGTAAAGACACATTTTGACTATAAAATTTTCCCTCCAAATTAAATTTTAGATACAAATGGACTTCAGTCTATAAAAACTTTGAAGTTTTATGGAACTCCATAAAATAATAGAAAAAAGGATGGGGGGGAAGGGAATGATAGATGGATGAGCTGTTTGAAAAACCTCAGTAACTGCATTACTTCTCTATAAAACTTTTATCCTTAATTTTATCTCAAGAACATACTGTCCTTTTATTATGTTATATCGATACTTACCTTTACAAATTTTTATCACTTTCTTTTTCCTTCTTTAGAATCCTGTTTTGGTCTAGCAGATCGAGCAAATTGCTTATATTTTAAATTAAGGTTTTCTTCACAAACACGAAAGTAATCTTTTTAAGACAACTATCAAGAACTAACATAAAATAGGACCATAGTTTTCAAGTCATCTTATATTTGTCTTCCTACTCTTTTTAACTATGTCAAATTTTTTTAATGTATTTGTCCCACTATTTTACAAACTACATTAACTACTAAAAGCAGAATGGTTATGATACATTCTGACTACTAAAATTTTGAAACAGAAATATGTAACATAAAATTATAAAATTACAATTATCTATTTTAATTACTGCAGCCTTGTAAGCTTAACAAGTATATATTTTTGTTAATAATAAGTTAGACTATTGACATGTAAGTGAATTTTAATAGTCTTATGGTCCTTTATTTTCTCATAAAGATCTAAGTAATATTGTAATTTACTTCAACCACAATATATTTATAACTGAGTGTGTAAACCTAGAATGTCAGCAGTTACTATTTCTAAAAGATAGTATAAAAATTAGTTTCCATTATGCCCTTTTCTCCTAAAAACTATGATCTTGGAATAGACTGATTCAAAGGATACAACCACCATAGGTTTTCCAAAAAGAACATATCCATTAGCTTCTTTTAAGGCTTTTGCTGCTGCTTTTTCATTTGGAAGCCCAATGAAAGCTTGTCCTTTCATTCGACCTTCTTTCATCAAGCGTATATCAAACCTAGAAGTTAAGGAACAGAGTGGTTTTGAATGAAGATTGTCAAACAATTTTGATAAAGTGAATGGAAATGTGTTGAAGAATTTAAAAAGTTTGCCATCTCAGTGTAAAAATGCCTAAACTATATGATTACTATTTACAGATAATATCACAACATACACAGAAAATCCCAGGACTCATTAATAACAAGAACTGGAAGAGCAGTGCAACAAGATAGGAACCAGAGGGCTCAAAAACCAGAGAGGTATTTTAGCAAACAAGGAACCAGGGGACTCTAAAAAAGAGAACCCCAGACTCCAGTAAAGTAATAGCAATAATAAATGAGAACAGTAGGTACAAGCTATAAAATTTCTATAGGCAAACAAAGAACTAGCAGAAAGAGAAAACAGAAAAATAATCCCATGTACCATTGCATCAAAAAGAACAGTACCTTGGAATAGTTTAGCGAAAGAAGTGAAAGACCTATATGAACCAAAAACTATAGGACATTGTCGAAAAGAAATAGAACACACAAAAACGAGTAAAAGTATTCTGTGCCTAAGTACTGGAAAAATTGGCATCATTAAGATGGCTGTAAGTACATTTATTTTTTTTCAAAATTCTGAAAGGCTGAAAGTCTAAGATCAAGCAGGGTTGGTTTCTTTCGAAGCTCTCTCCTGGCTTATAGGTGATGTAGCTCTCTTAATGTGTTCTCACATGACCTTTCTCTTACACATGTGCACTCCTGATGTCATGCTCTCTTCTTTTTTAATATATACTTTTTGGAAGTAATATTGGTAATTGGTAATTTTTGGAAGTAATATAAGATTGTATGTGATTCAAAGTACAGGATCACATGTCTTTACCACACCCACTGCATTGGTTGTCCTCCCCCAAGAAACATAAAATAAAATGGCCAAATTATTGAAAGCAACATACAGATTCACTACAATTTCTATCAACATTTCCAAAGCATTTTTAACAGGAATAGAATAAAGTAATCAAGAAACTTATTTGAAATTACAAAAGATGCTGAATAACACAAACACTCAGAAAAAGGGAACAAAACTGGTATCAATGCTTCTGGACTTCAAAGTATAACACAAAGCAACAGATTTTAAAACGGGATGTTAGTGGAGAGAGAAAAAAATAAACGGACAGGGTTATCAATGCAAGAAAACTACATGCCCAGAAATAAAACCATAATACATCTGTGGACAACAAATTTATGTCAAAGGAGGTAAGAGCATATAATGAAGGGGAAAAAATCTCATCAATAAAGTGGTGTTGAGAAAACTGGACAGACTCACATGAAAGAATTTATATCTTAACACTATATTCAAAAATTCAAAATGGGTTGAAGATTTGTATATAAAAACTGAGACTGCAAAATACATAGACGACAACATGGGCAGAACTCTGACATCAGTCTTAAAAAAAAAATGTTTTGGGGGCCCTCCTGGTGGCGCAGCGGGTTAAAGCACAGCACTAAGAAGCTAAAAGCCACTTCAGCATGAGTTCAATCCTCTCCAGGCCTGGAGGTGATCCACATGGCGTGGCAGACCTCTCCTGACCCTCCTGCTGCTCCCCTCAGCAGTGTTCTTCATCAATCTGCCTGTTCTGCTCCCCGCTGTCTCTGGTGAATCCCCTCACTGTCCCTGCACATCTGGCCTATACCCAAGTTCTGTATGAACAAATAAATAAATCTTAAAAAAAAAGTTTGGGTCCTGACACCAATCCCAAGTGAAATAAAAATAAGCCTATAGAACAATAGTGGAGCACAATGGAGGAAATTTGCATCAAAATGAAAAGATATCCTACTGAATGTGGAAGCCACACACATCACATGACAAGGGATGACTAGCCAAATATACTAAGAACTCACAAAACTGAACAATAAAGCAAGCAAACAACATTCATTTAAAAAATGGGTAATAGTATCTAAATAGAGATCTGGCCATAAAAGACAGAGATGTGATTTCCAATTATGCATATCTGAAATTATAATGCAATATTGTTTCAATAAAAATGTATTTAAAAGGCAAGAAATTAATACACTGTTACCAGGTTTGGAATCCAAAAAATTTTGTCGGACTGCTATTTGTGTTGAGTTATTAGAACAACAGTTTTCTAAGAGTAGTCGTTGGATCAGTATCCATGAGTTTTTAAAAATACAAATTTATGGTCCCTAAGTCAACCAGATTCTTTAGGTATGATCCAGGAAACTACCTAATGAGTTCTCCAACTGACTCTTACACAGGTTAAACTTCAAGAACTATTGTGAGTCCAAAATTTATGAGGAGATCCATGAACAAAGCTTTTCTGAAACAGCCATGAATATTCATTTATGTACTGTTTGTGGCGGCTCTCATGGTACTAAGACAGGACTAAGCAGCTATGCCATATAACTAAATTTTTACTGTCTGCCCTCTGATAAAGAAGTTTCAATTTCTGGTGTAGACATTTAAGATTAGTTACATATAAGAGCAATATTTTAAAAAGATAAAAACAAAATACAATTGGAGAATATGACTGTCACTTACATTATCCGCTGTGTTTCTGAAGAAAAGTCAACATATCTTCCGAAAATATATTTAAGATCCTAGAATTTCAACAAGAAAAAGACAAGTAAGGAATTGCAGACAAAATGTAAAATAATAAAAGCAATTTACACCTTTAAACTTACCTTTTCTTGAACATGTTTAGCTAAATTCTTCACATAAATTCTACAGTTTGCTTCTCCAGGTTCATAACTTCTGAAAACCGAAAGTTTTTCCATTTCTCATTTGAAAACAAAACAGGATATAAAATTAAGATATTTTCATCAATTCTAGTAAAATCTATTGCACCATTCAAATATAAGTACATCAAAAACCTGTACTGGCACTAACATTTATGAAAGCATGAAAAATTCTTTAAAAGCAGAACTACCATGTTAAGGCTATAATATTCTTGCATAGACTTCTAGTCACCAAATAATTAAAATATCTTCTACAGACCTGTTTTGCATCCATTTCAGATGATGGTAATGTGATGATGTATCAACTGTATTTGGAATACCTAACTTGAGAATGGCTCATAATGATTTAAGATGTGATATGGTAATTTTTAGAAAGAAAATAAAAGAATTTTTAAACCAATCTAGGCTGAAAACACTACTGAAGAGACTATTCCCCCCTAGTAAATCATGGGCATCAAAAACTAAAGTGGTATTTAAAAACATTTAGGTGAAGAGAGATTTTCAATTCTTAACTAGGGTAAATTATATGAAGAGATTTGTTATTTTGTTTCTGAAGAATCAAATATATAATGGCACACTGATGAAAATTACCTTCTCTGGAAATTCTGCCCTTTTCCAATTCTCTCCTAGAAATACATTCTGATGGCATGTCATCGGAATCCTCTTTATTCTCCTCTGTGATGTTCATATTAGGTTTTGGGAAGATCTTTCCAAATCCTATATTGGATGCATGAAATTCAGTAGCAGATGATAAATAAGACTTGACATTAACACGCATCACTAAAAAAATGCCTTTCCTCTAAACAGTTTTGTTTTCCATCTTTAATTTTAATGATATCTTTTGGCAGTAAAGAGGCTGTACTTTTCTAAATGTTTTAAAAAGGGTTAGATAAACTTTACCTGTAAAGGTTCAAATAGTAAATACTGTAGATTTTTGCAGGCAATGTTTCTGTCATGACTTTTTCAACTTTGGCACTGTAACATGAAAATAACCACAGACAATAGCTAAAGAGTCAAATGGCTGTACTGTGTTGTGACTTTTGAGGGGTTACAAAGTGCAAAGAAATGAAGTGATTTTGACTTAATTAGGATGAGAAGGCATCCAATGAAAATGATTAGTGGAGAGAGAGAGAGAATACCTGTTTGGACCATTCTGGTTTTCATTCATTTTGTTTAACCTATCCACTATGAAGTATTGTGTACAAAGATCCAAGTGTAATTCCTTCAATAAATTATCAGTTTTACTATGAAATAATAGTTGTGTAAAAGGAATTTGTCATTCACTCAATAAATTACAAATCATCAAAGACATTCTGCTAATGAATGTAATGAGTCAAAATTCATTACACAATAGGGCCTTGCTAGACTTCAACCCTATATTCACACTAATACTCTAAGCTACAAGTACAAATATGTGTACTCCAGTATTTTGTACAATAGAAAAAAAAAGGAAACATCTTCAACTTCTATCAGAGCATGCCTAAATAAATATAACTGTACTATGGAGTATAAACTCAACTTTAAGAAAGGAAGGTATATATTTTTGTGTTCTGACAGACTACTGACATTAGACTTAAAAAAAACCAGAGATCATGTGTAATCTGTCCTGTATAGTCTACCATGTATAGGACAATATCAGGAAGCATAACTCACAATATTACAATGGTGGTTAAGATGGGGGACAGTGGGTCTGAGGTGTTAACTTTTTTAAAAGTTGTATTATGTACTCCTGATTGCATTTTCTACTAGTTTGTATTATTTATGAAATTAAGAAGATATAAAGAACAATGCCACTAAATCTGTTTAAAATAGGTAGTAAAAAATCTATATTTCAGTATATTACTTTAAAATGTAAGGATATCTTGGTAATAAATAATGTGTTTTGAGTAAAAAACAAATTATGAAATCTATAAATTCATAAGTCATTGTTTCCTAATCAATAATGCAATTACACACATACAATATTAATATCACAGCTAACAAGCAAAGGTTTCTATGTTTCTGATTTTAATGTTTAAATTTTAATGTTTTTAATCAGCAAACTAGACTGAAATTGAATTTCACCCGAGAGTTCATTAGAAACAAAAGGTCTCAGTGACAACCATACCATTAAATATCAATTTTATTTACATAAAAAGTTCAAAATGGATAGTATTCTGTACAACTGAAAAACTAATTTCATATTTTAAACATTGTTTACAAAAAATTTAATTCAAACACAAAAAGTTCAATGAGAAGAAATTCTATACAGTATATTGAAGAACTAGAGTACTTACCACAGATTTGTTCATCACAATTTTGTTCCTTTTCTAACTCTTTCTTCAATGCAGTTTGCATGTCAGTAGATATATGGAATTCAATTTTTTTATTGCTGACAGGTTGTGGTTGGTCAAACACATCCGAAGGTAACATTACAGGATGTAAACTGCAGTTCATAAACAATCACAGCATTACTTTGTAATTGTGACAAAATTCTTGAACAACACATTATTTTATATATGTTAAAAATCTAACACTGACAGGCCCTCCCTGGCGGCGCAGCGGGTTAAAGCACAGCACTGAGAATCTAAAGCCGCTTCCGCATGACTTCGATTCCCGCCTGCCCCAGAGGTGACCACATGGCGTGGCAGACCTCTCCTGACCCGCCCGCCGCTCCCCTCAGCAGTGTACTTAGTCGATCTGCCTATTCTGCTCCCCACTCTGTCTCTGGTGAAGCCTCTCACCGCCCCTGAGCCTCTGGCCTGTACCCCAGTTCTGTATGCACAAATAAATAAATCTTTAAAAAAAAAAAATCTAACACTGACAAATTGAGCACAACTCTGTACAATGACATACATTAATACATACTTAAACCCTAGCAATTGTTCTAATATGGGGAATGTAAATTACAAGTTCACAGACGTAAGGAATTGTGGGTAAGGTGTGGTAAGAAATTGCATGTTATTCAGTAAATGACAAGATTTAAGGCCAACTGATTTTAAATTTTAGGACATTTACTAACATACAAAAAGGTACACCCTATTTTTAATATATGCAAATTAATGCAATGTACTTTCAACTACATATAACCAAAGGAGTATTAACTAGCCAGAAGTGTATCTGAAATGTTGCTGTCCAAATCAAAATATGTTGTAACTGCAAACTGCATACTATACTTTTAACAACTTTGTACATCACAATAATTTTTTATATCAATTATAAGCTCAAGTGATATCTTTATATACAGTGAGTTATATAAAACAAATTATTAATTTCATGTTTATTCTCTTAAATGTGGCTATTACAGTATTTAGTTTGGTTGGTATTACTTATTTTTAATTGTTCTATGCTGCTTTACAACTTAAAAGCATAGAATTGGGATGTCAAGACATACTGAGGTAGGAAACATCATTTAACATGAAAAAAAAAATCCACATAAATTAAAGATCCATTCCTTTAAAAATGGGTAAATGACAATTTTAACAAATTCCTTTCTCAATTTACTTACAGGTTCAATGGAAAGTTACCTTGCAGAAAGGTAAATAAAATTACAATTGTAACTAAAGGTAAATGTTATGAAAAAGGTATTAAAATACATGGATTACCACGGCCAGCAAACAAGTAAAATTTAAGCCATAATTTCAATCCAATTCATGTTAATATAAAATGTCTATCAGTCGGAATAAAAAGCAAAAGGGCTAATGTAGTCTCAAACAAAATAACACATGCAGTGAATACCACTTTATTGGTAATTTTTGTACTGTTAACAAAAATGTCCAAGACATAGGAAAGGATAGTTTAAAAATAAAAAAGATTATTTATGTATACAAGAACGAGAAGTAGGTTAGAGGTGCACAGTTGGTAGGATTCACTAGAGATAGAGTAAGGAGCAGAACAGTAGGATCTACTAAAATATACTGCTAAGGGGAACAGTGGGTGAAAAAGGAGAGGTCTGCTATGCTATGTGGGTGAGCTCCCTGGCTGCGGCTCCCAGTGGCTGGTGATAGCTTGACAGCACTGATATTTTAATGCCTGCACCACCAGGGAGTTCCTGGAAAGTTAATTTCTATCGAATAAAATTTGTTCACATACACTCTTGATGTTCACCCTAAATCTGCTTATTCCCTAGGATAACATAATTTGAAAGAAATTCTTACCTTTTTTTGAATGTCAATGACACAACAGTGGCTCCATCAATAAATTCAAACACACCACTACCTACCATTTAAGAAAGATCTCCATGTCTTTCCAGTTTTCCCTTTCGTCGTCCATTCCTATTCCTAGCTAATAAATTACCTCAGAGAGCTTTCCTTTTACTTTTTCATTTCCACTGGATATCTCTATACCCCTACCTAACTTTTATCTCTCATCCTTTAAACGTCTACTTTAATATCTCCTCCTTTTAAAGTTCTTTTCCAGATTTCTTACCTGCCTATGGTCTCAAAACCCAGTCATTCATATTTTATGCCTTCTTATTTGTAAATAAAATTAGTAATAAAGCTGTTTACACAGCTTATTGCCCATTACACTCATTAACGCATTAAAAATACAACTAGCATTCAGCTTTGGAATATGCTCTGAGACATTAGTAATATTTAGCAGTAAACCTTACCATACATTCATTATAACCTACTTTTTAATTAACTAATTTATTTACATATATATTTACATCATTGTTGATTTTAATACAATCATTAGATGTCTAAAGGCAACTTAGTGGGTGCTATGTTTCAAGCTGTATGTTTTTTTAATGTGATCAGGTACTCTGGAGTCTAAAAATATTTGATATTAGATAGTGGAGATAGAAAGAACTAACATAACGTCACAAAGACACATGGTGATACCATTATAAGAACTGTGAATACAGGAGGAGAAAGACAGTGAAGGAAAGTAAATGATGTTTGTTTCGGATAGAATCTTAAATGCATACAAGATCCTCTGGTGCAAAACAAAGTAGAAAATGAGGATTTTAAGTGTTAGGAGGTTAAATCCTGAGATAGAGATTTAGTAACTATTACCTCCAACAGATGAAAGAGAAATACATGATTACTTTCATTACATATATCCATGTGTATAAACATATTTAACACATTATACTTTATTGACTATATAATTAATAATTTACATATAAACACTATATACAACATAAATATATGAACAGAAGATAACCATGGATACAAACACATGAAACCCAACACTTAAAACAAAAAAAGGAAATGAGAAACAACGAAAAAGACTCAAAAGAAGTACGAAGGGTAAGAGAATGAAGCAGTGAGGTGGGAGATAGAAAATGCTAATGTTCAATCAGATGATATAATCCTGACAGCTGGGTTGGCAATAGTACATAGCTGGCCAAGTATAAGATAATTATGAATGCTTGTGAATTTAGGAAATAGGAAGTCACTCATAAATCAACTACAGATGTGAAATAAAGCTGGATTGAGGAATTATGGGAATCATGCTAGTAAACAAATGGCATACAGAAACATTTCGTAGTTAAAAAACAAGTTACCTGTGTGAGGCGGATGAAGGTATATTCAACATATCCTTTATTTTTTGCTTTTTTCTCACACGGCGCTGCTTTGTTGTTTTTGGTCTTTTGGGCTGAAGATTTGCTAGTTCCATTAGTTTGTTCATTCTGCATTGGCCGAAGGAAAAGTAAAGATTTCCTTTATTTATCAATACAAGCAGTGATTTACTATTGTTTCTGTTAAATTTAAGTTTGCACTGGACTTATAGTGCTTGTATAGCCTCAGTCTACTTTCTAAGCTAGCAATACATAATCAGTTTGACAAAAGGTCAGCTTCTAAATATCCTAGTTCAACTGTACCTTATTTTGAAGAAATTAGGAATTTGCCTGCTGTGTCCATTTGTAAACAGACAATATAGATAACATGCAAACTTATGTGTTTGGAGAACACAGCCCCATCCTCTCTACGGCTGTCTTCACATTACACTGCATCGTGCAAGTGACGTGCCACGATCTCTGTGGAGGCCACTCTGTAGGTTATATGCCTGAACGTTATTCACTTAGTTCACTTTGCCAGGATATATGTTTTAATAGTAAAACATACAGATAAATCATCAAGAGTAGCCAATAAAAAGAGTAATTCATCTGCACTAATTACTATTAATTATTTTACATAAAATGCTACAGAATAGGGCCTTCCCTGGTGTCATAACAGGTTAAGGCACAGCACTATGAAGCTTCCAAAAGCCACTGCAGCAGGAGTTTGATCCCCAGCCAGGTGTGGCAGACCTCTCCTGACCCGCCGCTGCTCCCCTCAGCAGTGTATTTCAGTAAATCCGCCTGTTATGTTCCCCACTCTGTCTCTGGTGGATCCTCTCACCCACCCCACCTCTGTCCTGTACCCCAGTTCTGTAAGCATATAAAATCTTTAAAAAAAAAAATCCTATGGAATAACTCTAGCAATTATTCTGAGGTAAAGTCTAGGAAAATAAGTTGAAATAAACACAATTACAATCAATTATTCTTATTATTTGAGACAGTTAAGATGTTCTATAATTTCTACAAACATTAGATTAGTGAATAATGAATCATTACCCTTAAGGAAATTTTAAGATCCTAAAAGCAACTGCTTACATTTTATCAAAAGGTAATATATAACTAGTATATGTGTTTCTGTTTAAGGAGTTTCACTAACACAGAACTCATGGGTCAACAGCTCATGACTTTTCAAGGTTTGTGTAACACATGTATGTTCTCCTAAGGCACATCACAGCCTTCTTGTCCTTGGAAAAACTAGTTCACACTTTCGTATTATGCGACTATTTTAAATAATAAAAGCAGTAACAAACAGCACAAAAAAGTGAAAGATGTAGCACTAGATTGGAAATTAGAGTTGCTTACAGTATGAAAATAAAACAGGAAGGCAGAATGTTACCTTCTACCTTTATCAGGAATGTGCAAGTTCAGTGACTCAAATTTGCCACCCTCTGCACCAGCTTATGTCAGCCAAAGATCATAAAACCACTGCAAGTGTTATTTTAAGACTATAAACTTTAGTAATCAAGCAAATTTGCAACTGCAGAATCCACAAATGAGAAGCAGCTGTATTTTACAAAGCCATAATCATCAATGTAAAAATCTTATCCATGATCCAATATATTTTTTTTCAGTCCTCATTAGTTATCATCTGTTACTACTAAGTATACTTGAGGGATTGAGGGACTGAGGATGGACAAATTATAACTTTAAATTAAGAAGAATTATATGCAAAATTACAAACAGCAAGAGAATCTTTTTTCCGTATCCTATTTTCCTTGGAATCTAAACAAATGTTATGTAATATTACAAACCTTTGCCGGTCTTCTTCGTCACTACTTTCATATTCTGACTCCTTACTAGAATAGTCCTCATCCTCCTCTGGCAAAGGCGGTTCCTCTGGGGGCTGAGGAGACGCAGGCGGAAGAGGTGCATGCAGCGGCATGTAATCTTCATACTAACACAAGAACATGAAAACATTACAGCAAGGTATGATGTGTACAGAATAAAGAACTTATTTCCATTGAGAGAGATGATTCTCTCTCCATGTCAAGATATTCTTTTAGAATAACTGTTAATTATATTATCTAAGGGAAGACATTACCTCCCCTCCCCCCAATCTAAGTTACTTTTTTTTTTTTTTTCCACATTTTTGTGCTGTTTGTTACTGCTTTTCGGATTGCACAGTAAATTCTAGTACAAAGTAGACAATCTCTTGTCTGTGTGCCAGGATAATAGAAATTTTAGAAAGTTTTGTTAAATGTAATTACCATATAAGATGGTACAGTGTTCTAGGTCAAAGCTAAACAACAACAGTAGCAGAAAATAGGGCCTCCATTATAAAAAAATATTTTTCTCAGATTCTGGCTTTTACCCACTTTTATTACTCCACTTGACTGATGAAATGAACTTTATCTTTGTTATTTTTAATGCAGAGTACAAGTCACTGATAATAATCCTACCTCAGGAAGAGAGATTCCAAAACTTGAAAATTCTAAGGCCTTTCTTACCATGGGAGGTCGTGCAGTAATTGGTCCAAAAGGTGTGGGCAAATTCATTTTATTCATAAGGTGAAGCACCTGAAAGTGGTAAAATATTTTAAATCATATGGTAAAATGATGGTTCAACTCAACCTTACATTTTATGTATTTAAAAAATTCATAGTAAAGCTACCGATAAGTTTAGTGCAAAGGAAGAACCATCTCTTGCCTTATTATCACAAAGAAAAGATAAAGCAAGGCACTGATAATTCTCAGAAGATTAGCCTTCATACTCTTAACTCTACGGTTTTATTCATGCTATTAAAAATGTCATGTTCTTGCAATACAAAATCTATTATATGCTGTTTCAATCCTGATAATTAAGAAATTATATTTTCAAGCCCAATGATTATGAAATTATGAAAAGCAACACTAAATAAAACATCAGCATGGCTGTACATCACAGAAGAATCTTATTTCTCTCAATACTTTCAAACATTTGTTGAAAAGTTCATTATTATCTTATACTTCTAGTTCCCAGCAATGAGAAAATGTTCAGCTTTTGTTTGTAAGCCACAAATCAATGATATTTGCTGTAGCAGACTGAACTAGTTATAGACACTTTCAAAATATTGCTTTATCACCACTTGTCAGAAATCATCTAAGTAATAGTATTATGAAAGGAGAATTAGCATAGAAAATAATGTATCAAGTTATACAAAAATTTACATTGAGGAAAGTTTTATTCTACTTACCTGTACATAGAATTTAGGCACACTTGCCAAAGCATTTACTATGTTTGCTAGGATTGTGCTTGAAGGTGGTGGGTACATGTACTTGAGGCATGAATTTAGAGGAAAGGTCAGCCTAAAAAAAATTTTAAATGCTTTTGTTTTAACAAATTTCATTTCAGTAACTAATTTTAGATAACAAGGTTATTTAAAGGACTCAACAGTCTTAGATCCAAATAAATACACTCAAACAGAAACATTTTATTGCATTAAGAAAAGTAAGATGTTTTATCAGTTTATCTTATATTTCTAAACTATTTATGAAATATTTTCAAACTTTTGTAATTCAAAATGAACAGGCCAAAAATATATGACACATAAAATATCCTTTAAAACTTATCTTGCTTAATATATATAAATATAACCTAAACATATATATAATCTAAACATATACATATGTGTGTGCGTATGTGTACGTGTGTGTATGTGTGTGTGTGTATAAATGTATATAATCTAAACACCCAAAAAATATAAACAGAAAAAGCTAACCCATGGTTTGGTGCAATTCCATTTTCTATGGTTAAACAACCAAGGTCTTTCTTTTCTTTATCATCTTCCACAGGGTCTTCAGGTCTAGGAATACAGAATCAAAGCTGATCTTTAATTAGAGTGAAAAATTGCATAGAAAAAAACATAATACTATTATTTTCAAATGTGGCTTTCAAGTATATCTCAAGCAAACACCAATGAAAAAGATGGTATAGAAAATTAATCTTTACTGGATACCTTCGTTGTGTAGATATTATACAAAATACGCCACCACAACCCTAAGAAGATGGTATGATAATCATCACTGACAAAAAATGTAATTAAAGTTTATATGATATAAAATGGTGGTACCAAGATTTCTTTAATGTGCTTCAAAATCAGTTAAAGGGTTTGTCAACAAAAGACGGCTGAGGCCTTATCTTCCTCTTCACTCCTCTAAGTTTCTGATTCAGGAGGACTGGGTAAGGCCCAAGAATCTATACTCCAATCACGGGTCTAGAGAATGAAACTAATACAGAACTACTTTCGAGAAGCAAATTTATAAAGGTTATAGAAGGGTAAAGAGTTACAAGTGGGAAGTAAATACCAGTCTTTGTTTTTTTTAAGATTTACTTATGTATGCATACAGAAATGAGGTACAGCCAGAAGTACAGGGGTGGTGAGAGGATTAATCAGAAACAGAATGGGGAGCAGAACAGGCATATCAACAAGGTACATTGCTGAGGGGAGCAGCAGGAGAGGTCTGCGGCACCATGTATATCACCTCTGGGCAGGGCTCCACCTCACACTGAAGCCGCCACTGCTTGGCTTAGCTTCGCAGTGCAAGGCTCCAACCTGCTGTGCCACCCGGGAGTGCCCAATACCAGTCTTTAATTTCAACAGCAGTGCTGATTCATAATACTCTGCTATGGTTAATCAGCCAGAACTTTATCCTAGTTACCTTCCCTCCCCCTCAATCTCTTCCCACTTCATACTGATTAATTCCTAATATTAAAAGAAATTAATATTATAACACTCAAGTTCTTTATGTATAATTAGGAATATAAGTAAACATTGTTTTAATACAATTCAACAGAGTGATGTATCATTCAGTGTTTCAGACTATTTATTTGCTAATCTGAAAATAACATAGCATCAATACAACTGATTGAAAAGCACTTTAAAAATGTCAGGAAAACCTATCTACATACCTTTTCTTTTTCTCAGTACCTGAAGAGGGACATGGGGAATGAACTCGATCTTGCTCTTTTGCAAATTCAACAACCAAAGTATGACCTAAAAGTTTCAGTTGATGGAGTCTTGTCAGTGCCTTCAATTAGAAGAAAAGAGTCAGAAGTGTGATCATTGTACCAAAAAATGACTTGTTAGATCACATACAAAATATTTATACATGTTCTTGGTTAATACTGTGAATATTTCCTTGGATATTTCTTACCCAAATTTTAATTTACTGTTTTTTAAGGGACTACTACTTCCTATCACTTACCAGAGGTAATATCTGGTTAAATGCAACTCCACTGATACCCAAATAGATGAAAATGGTTGGGGAAAGAAACAAAACAAAACAAAAAACCCAACATATTGCCCTGGTGAAACATTAAGCTCAAGACTATAATCATAAATCCAGTGTTATATTCTAAATTGTTTTTTGGTAAACCCATCTCTAAGAGAGTATTTTGTACTTTTTCCTTAACTCACAATATTCTCCTTCCATTCTCTTAGCCTATGGACTTTCTTCTCTACTATGACCAAGTGAGGACTTCAGCTTCCCACCATCACAAGTCCTCAAAGACCAGCAGGTACACCATATACTGTACCTTCATCTGTTATCAGGTATTAACTACTCATGCTTTGATCTAAATCTAATTGTTTGACTTGTATAGAAAAACTCCAATCTTATCTTCTCAAGAGTTTCTCTTCTGTTCTCTGGAATTATATGGCAATGGAGACTGGGGAGTGGGGAGAGATTATTCTTACTTCTAAGGGTAATTCTTGGATACATTAACATATAAACATGCTTCTATTTCTCCCATCCTAAATTATGCTTTCCTTCATCTGACTGTATTTACCACTGCTCTTCACTTTTTAATTACTCTTGAAGAAAAGCTCCTTAAGAGCTATATAAGCCCTCTATTTAAGATTCACTCTTCTTACCTAGTCTTAAAGTAATTCCAATAAGACTTATTAATCTTTCCATGGACACTGCCTATAACTGACAACAAACTATTCTGCCAAGCCAACCGGCACTCCTGGTTTTCAGTTTACTGCATTAAACATAGTTGATCATCACGCTTGAAATTATTCATTTGATGTCAAGAACCATACTTTCTTATAGTTTTCTTCCTAGTTCACTGGTTTCTGCTAAGTCTCTGGTTGTGCCTTCTCACTTTTATGCTGGCATACTCCAGGTCAATTATTAGTTTGTATATTCTCCTGGTGACCTAATCCCATTTTAATTGATAGTAACTCCATTTTTTCCACTTGTGCCAAAAATCCTGAAACCATCCTCTCAATTCATCTTTCTCATACTGCATATTCATCATCAAGAAATCCTATTTGCTCCTACCAGCAAAAGACATTCAGAATCTAAGTACTTCTTACACCTCTACTGCTACCACTGTTGTGCAAGCAACCATGATCTCTGCACTGAAGTTCAACAATATTTTGAAAGATGTTCTGTTTCTGTTCTTCCCCACCTTCCATCTATTCTCAACACAAATTATGTTACTTTGGTGAAAATCCTCTAAAGGCTCCCCATTTTATGTGAGTCAAAACTAAGGTCCTTACAATACTTACATAATGTGGTCTCAATAACTCTCATATCCAATCTCTCCCCTCAGTTTGTATGCTTTAGTCACATTGTCTTGAACAAGACAGGTATGTTTCCACACCAGAGTCCCAGTTTCAACTACCCCTCTCACTGGAATGTACTTCCCCCGATATTCCCTTAGCTAGCTAACTTCCCTCATTCAAGATGCTCAAGAATGAGCCTAAACCCTTAACTCCCACTTGCCCTCCCCCACTCAGCATCCTTAGTTCTGCCGTTCATTTTCCTTTTTTAATAAATGCTATGAGAAGAAGCACAGGATGTTTTCTTCATCCTCTCCTTCACAAACACTCTCTGAATCCTGCCCCTGTCAGTTAATTTAATAACCCAATCATTTGTGGCAAAAATTTCACAATATTACATGTTGCTCAACTTTCACATTCATAGGGATCCTAAGACCTACAAAATCAGCTTCTATCAAGAACAGAGCTACGTCTGTCTTCTTACTGTCTAACTCAGATCCTTTCTCTTGCCCTGACAATTATAACATTTCACTTGGCTGAGTTTTTCACTAGGTCTTCCTAATTGTAATTTTTTTCTACATCAATTCTATTATATGAAATCTACCAGGTATCTTTCACAGAGCTGACCATATTCTTGACCAACTGAAAAGTTCTGAGTGCCTTTAGACTATCTACTAAACAAAATTTAATCACTTTCACCCAAATTTAGACTCAACCTATTTTCCAATTACTATTTACATTTAAGACTTCACTATTAACAATTTTCCATGCCCCATAGTTTCATCAGTGTTCCCCAAAACAGGAAGGTCATCTACCTTTCTTTTACTCTCAAAATTCAATTAATTATGAAAGGTCTCCCAAAGCATGCCTGTTCTCAAAAGTAGTTTTTTTCTTTTAATAATACAGATATATTTTAATTATATATATATTCCCTTAATGCGTGTATTATATATATTCCCTCTAATGTTTAAAATATCCTTCTTTGCAAAACAGAAAGTTAACACTATATATTGCCTTCAGAACTTGTTATGGTAAACTGCCTATGTGACTGCAATTCAATTTTAATTCACTTTCCAGTTAATCTACTATATCATTTCTAAACATCTAAACTTTGGGCAAGATCTGCGAACTAATAAACCAAATGAGTTCTGTTAGGCAAACTCTTGAAATACAAACTCATTTATTTTTAAATGCTAGTATAACATTTCATTTTTGAGCTAAGACTAGATAATAAAAATTGTTTACTTTAATAGTAAAGAAAAAGTCATACCTTTATAGCTGCTTTTTCATTAGGGAAGGTAGCAAAAGCTGTATGTTTCTGAAAAAGAATCAGTACAAATTATTTTACTAGTTGACAGTAATTTGACACACAAAATGATGGACATGGAAGAAATATCGATTGTTTAATTGATAATACTGATTTCAGCACAATGGTTTTGACTTTTTTGGGACCAAACTGGAGATGAAAACTATGTAGTCTTTTTCATTAAAAGATGTGCACACACCCACACGTTTTGCATACACTTTCAAATAGTTCAAAGACCAAACGTTGAAAAATAAACCCTTCTATGCTGAAAGGACCACTTTTACACTATCCAAAGTATAAATTATTCCCTATTTATAACATATCTAAAGTACTTCAACTTTCCTCTGTAAAATGTTCACCAACAGAGTATCATTTCTCATGTACATATGTCCTTGGTGTCTTATCCTTGCAATAAGGGCTTAATGGAAAAAGTTTATAAATATAACTGACAAATATTTTTTAAAACATCATGAAGAACATAAGTCAAAAGCAAATTAATCATTATGCTAAGCAAATTATCAATGCTCATTAAAGCATTTACAAGTTGCTTGTGCATTTAGAATATCACATTCTAAAATGAATAATCTACAAGATCACTAGTTAATTGTGCCTAAATTGAACTGTATGAAATATTTGTATTTGCTGGTGTAGGTGACACTCTGATGAAAAATAATCTCAGTAATTCTCATGTTTTGCCTCATCACAGACCATCTTGGAGAAACTTAACACCGTTTAATGGGGAAACCTCCATTAAAACATCTTCAGGAGTAAAAGTAAACAGAGTACTGCAATGTGTGCTTAACGTTTGAGACCTTCTAACAGTCTAAAAATATGTCTGTAGTCAAAAAACAAAACAAACACAAAAACACGCCGTGGAAATTTTCTAAGTAGTTTACCCAAATTACTACCTATTGAAGTTTCCCCTCTCTTTTGATAAACAAAGACTAGTTTAAAAATCATATGTTACCTTTTTTTTGTGTGTGTGAGTCCTGAACCTAAGAGAAATATCCCCAAACTCAGAGGAGTTCTAAAATACTCCAGATGCATTGGAAAAGGTAGCTACACTTCTTCCCATTTTGCTTCCACCGCACCGTGACTAATCTAGGCTCGAGCCAATTACAACCCGACTTGGCTCTAAGCTCTGGCGCTAAAAAGGCGGAACGATGAGGAAGCCACATTACACAAGGACATCTTCCCCCTCTCTTCTGTTTCCTGAGTCCCCTCTGCCGGCGCCACCAACCAAAAGCCTTACCAGTCGCCCTTTATCTGACAGCACGCGCACCGACTGTGCCCCGAAATACTTGAGCAAATCCTCCTTCTCCTCGGTGGTGAGCTCGGCTGGCAAGTGCCTCACGAGAAGGGTTCGCTCGCCCCGAGGCGGGGAAAGCGAAGACGAGCTCTGGCATCCTCTGGCCATTGGCAGCGGCTGCTCGGGGGCCGCCATTTGCCTTTTAGAAACCAACTAAGGGAAAGCAGGACAGCTGCAGCTTGAAAGGAAGGAATCAACAAGCTGAAATAAATGAGTATTTCTCCGCCTCGCGCTAAGGATTCTGGAAACTAGGAAATAACGTGAGAAAGTCGACTTCTCGCGAGACTGGTGTCCCGGAAGCGCGGCTCCTCTTCGGGAGGCGGGACCCTGGGAGAGCAACGTTATCTTAAGTTCCCCGTTAACAGTTGAAGGTATTAAAAACAAAAATTCGCTAGAGGGAAGAGTGAGTTTGAAAAAAAAAATTGTCAAAGGAGGAGTGAGGAAACTCAGTTGTGTGAAAGAAAAGGGTTTAAACCGAGGGGCGGAAGGAGCCCATGTTGCGCATGCGCCAGGCGGAAGTTTGGCGTGGCGCCGGGCGCGGTCTGGCACTGTTCTCGGCGGGTGTCCCGGGTGTCCTGGGAAGTTGCGAAATTTTCTTGTGATTGGGGGAAGGAGAGACGCGATGTGAGGATGAGTGTGTACTTAACGATCTTTGGAAGGTTAGGTGGAGAACTCAACCCAGGATCTTTGATAGCTCTGGACAGAAGTTTCACGAAGCACTAGAATAAAGCTAGCAGCAAAGTTTATTAAGGATGCAATAGGCACGAGCACTGCGAGAGGCTGTGGGCTGTCCCAAGAAAGCCGGGAGCTGCGCTGAGCAGGGAACAGGCTGGTTTTAGGGTTCCTTTTTTGCATGGGGAGGCGTCCCTCTTAATTCTGCATCCCTTTCTCCCTTTACACCTAATATCTCTCCCACCCTCTTTAATATATATGTATATATATATACATACACACACACATTATTCTTCATTGTGTACATTTTTTATCTCAGTTATAGCCCTTGGACTTCCCACCACCCATGTGCCGTCACCATAGTCCCCTGTGCTCTTCCCACCCTGTTTTGATTTTGTTCGCCTCTCCTTTCCATTGAATGGAACTGGAAAAGTTCATGCTTCGTGAAATAAGCCAGAAAGAAAAATAAAAATTTCGAAGGGGAGTGTGTGTGTGGGGGGGGGGCGGGTGGGCGGGGGATTGTAATAAAGTAAAACAACAACAACAAAAACTAACAATTGTAAATGCCTCCCTCTTTTTAAATAGAGGTGATGGATGGCCTCCCTGACCTTCTAGACTTGCTAGACCTTATTTGGTCCTTAAAGCAATAGCCCCAGCTGGGCTGTGGGATGGTGAAAATGCAGTGTTGCCCCCCTGGGGAACTGTGGAGAGCCCTATTCCATCCCTGATGGTTAAGTCTAAAGATGGCACAGTTCAAATCAGGAATGTCTGCTTGGGCTGGAAAACAGTTTGAAGGACAGAAAGTTGGGATAGACAAGTCTTTTGTTGACTATTTGGGCAGCCCAATAGGCTCTGGCCTGGTTTTGCAGAACTGGTGCCCACTAGGGACAGATAATGTATTAAAAATAAATAATTATATTTGCATTTTAACATTTCATCTTCACAACAGCCTTACGAGGTAGATTCTTTACAGTTCATGTATAGTCACATTGATTGTATAAGGAGATTTAGTCGCTCAGCTTCTAAGTAGTAGAGCTGGAATTTGATCCTGCTTCTGTGACTAGACTTTATATCCTGATTCACCATTCTACCTAAATTTTGAGTGAGGTAGAGATTCCTGCATTACTCTATACAGGATTTTGAGGATTCTGAAGAGGTTTTATGGAGGCCTAAGGTGCTTCTTACTTATATCACATATATAGAATATCACATGTACCAATATCACATATATAGAATAGACTATAAGGGGGGTTTTGGAATCTGGATTATATGAAGAACAAGTAGAAATTAGGAGTTCTTGTTCTAGTTGGGATTTATGTGTGATGATGATTACATTTTAGTTATGAAAATTTTTCCTTGGTTGTAGTTTGAAAAATAGAAGCAGGAAAATCAGTAGGACCACTGCAATAGTGCAGGTAGAAGACACTGTTGGAAATTAGTAACAGTAGACATGGAGAAAGAAAGCTGGAATTGAGGTGTATTTTGAAATTAGATGGATTTACAGATGAAGAAAAATAACTAGGAATAGATTCTGGGATTTTGGCTTGGGTAACATTGCATAAATACCTGTTCAAATGTATGATGAATTCTACTGCCTTAATGTTTACCAGTGTGTGGGATGTCTAAGAATTGCTACACAAGCCATATGATATGTTTAATGGACCTATGTACTGTAGTTAAGAATTCATAACTTAGTGGAATAGTAACATGAAAATTATTTTCTCTCAACTCAATTACTTTTAATTATACTCAGTTCATCTGCCAAGAGAATTCTTCCCTTGACAATAGTTCAAGCAGATTTCATAATTTCTTGATTATGTTCAATTATTAACAGTCCACATTGGTTTGAACTATCTACTTCAAGCCCCATTAAAGCTCACCTCTGACTCTTCCCTTATATAGCCTTCACCTGAGAGGTAGGAGAAAGAGATAATTTGCTTTTATGTCTTTATATTTGAATAAGAGATGGTGTGTTCTTCTCTGAGTTGTATCTTTCTTGTAGACATTTTGGTTCAGCCCACATGTTCCTAAACTTTCTCAATTCATGGCACTCTTATTGTCTCAGTATTTTTTTTTTTTCCACAGCATTCCTGGGGTCCACTTTGTTTTCTAGTCTAACTTTGTTTTCAAGAGGCACTTGTTCCTTATCAGAGCAACAGCTAGAATCCTAGTTTTGTGAAGATATGACATCCTCAAAACAAATTTAGCAGGATCTAGTTTTGAAATTGAGAAATAACAAGCTAGTAGTTTATGAAGTGTCTGGCAGCAATGTTTCCACTTCTTGCAAATATTTAGATTATCCCATAGAATAAAATACTGACAAAACACTTTACCACATTACCTTCAATGATATCTCTGGGGACTCAAGTCTAGCTATATAACAAACAAAACAAAAATAAATTGTATTACCTTAAGATAAAAAGTCTCCACATAAAATGAAAAAAAAAAAACACCAAAAAACCTCATTAAAACAAAATGACATCCTATGGAATAGTAGAAAATAGTTGCACATCATGTATCACACAAGAGGCTAATACCCAAAGCTATAGGAAAACTCACACATCCTTCCAGGATATGGAAATGAGCAGGAGAGAGTGGGACATGAACAAGGGGGCTTCTGGGAAGGGAGTGGGATTGAGCATCCATTTTGTGAGCCTTTAAAAGAGAGCAACCCATGTGGGCTCTTTTATTGGTGGTGCTAAGGAGGCAGCTGCCCTGCCAGACAGCTGATGGCAGGACTTGGTAAGACTTTGTTCCAGGGTATCGGAGTCCTCATTTCTTGATGTAACAGATCTTGTCAAACCCTGCCAGCTCCTGTAGCTGCAATTCCACTTTGCTCTATAAGTCAGTAACTGGACCTTCTCCAACTCCCTCTCCAAGAAAAAGAAAAAAAAAAAGATTTTTTTTTTTCCTTTTGGGGGGCCAGATGCCTCTTTCTTTGCATTTGTGGCCAGGCCCAAAGCATATGAAAGAGGTTCTGACTCAGTGAGAGTTTTAGTTCCTTTGCCTATTAACAATACCACCTTAGTCCCTTCAACAGACAAAAAACAAAACAAAACAAAACAAAACAAAAAACAAAACAAAAAAATGGATAAAAGTGAAATTGCTCTTTTAAAGGTTGATAATTACCATCACATTGCTAAATATCATTGTCAGTTCTCAAACTGTTTTCTACACTCTCCACCGGTATTACTCAACATTTGTTTCCTCCTTGCTGTTAGCAAAATAAAAAATAGCCCCTAGACCAAGCTCCCTTCAATTGACTTCCTGGCTGCCACATTTATTTGTGCATACAGAACTGGGGTACAGGCCAGAGGGTCAGGGGCAGCGAGAGGCTTCACCAGAGACAGAGTGGGGAGCA